ATCTCATTTTGAAAGATTTTGGAAGTCCCTGCAAGAGTCTTTCAGAGTTGGGCCCTGCCCTACTGCAAGAATATATGATATGTGTGGTTATGTGGGCAGCCTGTCCACCACAGAGCCTCAAAAAGAACACATTAACAAGAACATTGCAAAGCTCCCTGCCTTCTCCAGCTCTGTCTTCACCTCCGTCATCCTCACCTTGTGATCTCCAACATGAAAGTAGAAATTCTGAGCCTTGGCCTGGACAGGCTGGCTGCCTGCGTGGATGGAAATCTGCCCGCTCATGCGGAGTTGTGACATCAGGAACTGCGAGGCTTTGTGCTCCCTGCACGCACTGCTCACGGCAAGAATGACATCACGGAGCTCAGGAAACTCTGCTAGGTCAGTGCACGCTGGCGCCATCATATCCAAGACTTCATCAACACTGGTCTCAGGAATGTACACATCGAAGCCCTGCAACAGGGTAAGTGAAGAACAAAGATCAGCTTGGTTTCATGTTGTACTCTTGTCAGCCAAATTCCTGAAAACCCTAGGAGGAAATTGAAATATTATCGATTGGTAACTTTGAAGACAGGAATAAGAAAAGAAAGAAAGGACAAAGGAAGAAACCTCAAAAGCAACAAAGGCTAGACTGGCGGAGGCCTCTAAAGCAGTGGTATGTACCTATAAATCTCAAAATAGAAACAGAAACTAGATACTGTAACTACAGATACATACTGGAAAACAGTCTTCTTGGTTACCATTTCAGCGCAGGGCCTATTCGTGGAAGCTTTATTAAAGAAAAACAAAACAGCAAGGAAGAATCCAAAGGAAACAAGAGGAAGCAAAGGAAACGCGGTAAGAAACAAAGAAAGGTCTAAAGTCTAAAGCAAAAGGAAGGAAACAAAGAAAGGAATGAAGAAGAGGAACCTCAAAAAAGAACGTAAGTTAAAATGTTCTAAGAAGCAAGGAAGGAAGCAGAAGCAAGTGAACAATGAAAAGAACAAATAAGAAATGTCTAAAGGAAGAGATCAAGAAAGGAAAAGGCTCACAAAAATGTAAGCTAGACTGATGGAGGCCTCTACAACAGTGGTATCCACCTGGAAGCCTGTTCGCATTGGAATCCCCTGTCAACCACGGAGACAGAGAATAGCACATACACGTGAAGGTGAAGGTGCACGTCGCTGCAGCCTGCTCCATCTCTGTCTTCACCTCCGTCATCCGCACCTTGTGATCTCCAACATGCAGGTAGAAATTCTCAGCTTTGGCCTCAACATTGACCTGAATAGGCTGGCTGCCTGCACTGATGGAAATCTGCCCGCTCACACGGATTTGAGATGCCAGGGCATCGTATTTCTGGCCAGTGCCAATGAAATCACAGATCTCGTGAAGTTGAGACGATGGTAGGTCTACGCGAACCGACTGCAGCAGCTTCATGATGTCGATGCTGTCAAGGCTCGTCTCAGGAATGTCCACATCTATACCCTGCACACGCTGACACCCAGTCTCTCCCCCTCTCTCTCAACCCTTTTGGAAGTGCACGCACACCAAAACTATGTTTGCCAGGCCATCACGCACTGGAGGCCTTGGAAACAATCATGAAGTGTACTTGTTCTTCGCTGGTGAAATGGAAATGGTACAGACTTTCCTTTGCAGGTTTTGTGGAGCGCGGCTTGCGCCTTTGGTGTGGCGAGGCCACTCGGACAAAGGGAGCATGTGAACTACTTCCTCCACATGGTTTTCCACTGGCCACATTTGTCCGGCGCATTTCTTTGCAGGCTTGGAGCATGGGGCCCTTTAGGTGTTGGGCAGCCTGCGTGGGACAAGTTGGGTTTTACTCCGCCCTTTTCTTGTAATTAGCGCCCCACATTTCTACCTTACCCAGAGGCCACGAAAGAAAGAAAGAAAACTACGGCCAAAGGTCCTCGCCGCTGGTGACGTAGCGGTTCTTACTTTTCTTGCTTATTGCTGCTGAAGTAGTTTCTCCCGCTGGTGAAGTGCTGGCGGTAGGTTTCCCGCGAGCGAGACCTCTGTCTGCGCGCGTCTGCCCTTTTACTGGCTTCAGCAAAACGAGGCGGTATGCCTTCGCCACTTGTAAAGAAGCATCCCGAAACCTTCCCAGTGCCATAGCCATTCCAAAGTAACATAAACTAACGGTTCACTGAATAGGACGGATCCTTGTTGGGTTGTTGATTCCCAGGAAGAAGAGAAATGCCAAACAACTCGAATCCGCGCGCGTTGCAAGAGCTGTTGGCTGTTGAGAATGACTGCTGTGTGAGAGCCATGTCATGACATGCCAAACCTGGTCCTCGTCTCTCACAAGAGAACCACCAACGCCATGCCTGCTCTGCTTGGGACAGGGTCTCCAAAGCGGGAATGGATCCGATCAGGCTCTCCCATTCGTCTGGATTGCTTACCGACGCCAGCTGCAAGGCTTCTTTGGCACTTACGCATGGCATCGCATCTGTGGACAACCGCTGCAACTTACCCTGAGCACTGAAATGGCAAGCGGGTAGAAAGATGAATGGGACGAATTGAAAGATTCGCGCTTTTCGTTGAATGAGCAAGAAAGCAGCTCCCATAAATGTACAACTCCTGAGGACTTATCCGATCTGGCACAGGCAAACAATAGCGTTTGATATAAATTCAAAATCCCTTTAGGGCCGAGAGCGCTAGCTGCTGGCTGCTTGTATACTCTTCGCTCAGTAACCCAAGCCACAAGGGTTTGTGTATGGCACCAGGCGAGGCCTTTGATGTACTTGCCAGGATCTCGGTCACCAAACCTCAAACCTCTTTGACATATGGGGGTTGTTCAAAAGTCCTTTCTTTTTTCCAGGCCTTTCGCAGGACCTTCGCGAAGCTTTCGCGCGTGGGGTTTTACCACTGTCAGCGAAAATGGTTTTTCGTTGGGGCTAGAGGCTTTCAAGGATTCATGCAGTTGCCCTAGCACGTCTTGCGTCCTCTGATCACTGACACATTGGTTGCTGAGGAATAGGAAGCCAGCCAACCAAGCCATTTTCATTTTGGTGTGTTTTTGGTTGGGCGCAACCCTCCATGAACAAGAGACGGCTCAGGCCAGTTTGCTCCGACTTCCGCCCGCGAAAAAGCAAAGTGGTTCAGACTTTCAATTTGCTTTGGGCGTTTGGGCGGGGAAAACCAAAATGGTTCAGACTTCCAATTTGCCGGGAAAAAGCAAATGGATCAGACTTCCAATTTGCTTTTCCCGGGCCCAAATGGATCAGACTTTCAATTTGCTTTTTCCCCGGCCGGGAAAAAGCACATGGTAAAGACTTCCAATTTGCTTTTTCCCGGGCCGGGAAAAAGCAAAATGGTTCAGACTTCGAATTTGCTTTTGCCCGGCCCGGGAAAAAGCAAAATGGTGCAGACTTCCAATTATGGTTCAGACTTCCAATTTGCTTTTTCCCGGGCCGGAAAAAGCAAAATCGTTCAGACTTCCAATTTGGTTAAGACTTCTAATTTGCTTTTTACCGGGCCTGGAAAAAGCAAAAGGCTCAGACTTCCAATTTGCTTTTCCCGGGCCGGGAAAAAGCAAAATGGTCCAGACTTCCAATTTGCTTTGGCCGGGAAAAAGCAAAAGGCTCAGGCTTCCAATTTGCTTTTTCCCGGGCCGGCAAAAAGCAAAATGGTCCAGACTTCCAACTTGGCCCGGGAAAAGGCAAACAGCTCAGACTTCCAATTTGCTTTTTCCCGGGCCGGGAAAAAGCAAAAGGCTCAGACTTCCAATGCGCTTTTTCCCGGCCCGGCAAAAAGCAATTGGTTCAGACTTCCAATTTGCTTTTACCCCGG